GGGAAGAGTTGCTAATATATATAATAATTTCAATAAATTGCGAAAATAATCTAAAAGATGTTTGAAATGATGCAAAGTATCCATAGCATTTTTTGGGAGTATATCAACCATAGTTAATCTTTTATACCATAGTTGGCAATCAGCTAATAAGATATCATAAAGTACTTTAACATCTTCATGATAAAAATCGGCTAAATATTTTATTTTTTTTTCTATCAGCATCTGAAAAAGGTTGGGAAGGCTTTTGTAAAAGTAATAACGTGCTGCCTGATGAATTAAAAACCGTTCATTTATTTGGACTATAAATTTTTCTATAAAGACATTTATTTTATAATACTCTTCTACTGACCCTATATTAATGTTGGGACGATGAGCTTGCCTTGCTGCAAGTCGAGGGAGACAAATATTAAACTCGTATAGCTCTGCTTTTGACTCAACAATAATATATAAAATATGAAATTCTTCAGCAACATTAGCCCTAGTTCTAATAAAATGCTCTCGGCTATTCTCATCGCCTCAATTAGTCAATGTCATGTTTTTGAAAAGTATTACATAAAATAGTTGCATAATTAAATAATTTATTAATACAGAAAAAATTGGTATAAGTATTGAATCCAATAATTTGATTGCTTCTTAGAAAATATCTCTTTCAGGCCATTGTGATATTTCAGTAAGAGCATTAATCGGCTCTTCTAATTCCATAAAAGCTGTTACTGTTTGTTGGCGAAGGCTCCATCTCGTGACAAGCTTTTTGAAATTTCTTTCGCCTTGTTGGGCAAGGAGTTTCAGAAAAATTCTGTTTAAAATATTTTGTCGCTCTAAGAAATAAAGTCAACTTAACCGCCCAGGCTGTAAACTTGGGTAGGACGGGGTATTCCATTAATGCAGAATCCCCTAATACTTTAAATTTTACAAGACCACAAAAAGTACCTTCATTATCATTATAATTCAAGCTTCCTGAAGCCAATGGCTACGTAATGCTAAGCCCTGCAATTCACAATATATAATGGCCTCAACAGAGTTTGATCTTTCATCTATTTTCTTTTGCTATTTTATTTCTATTTTTGTCAATATGTGATGAAATGGGAATCATATCCCCTCTTTGAATTAATTTGAAGAAATCATCAGATCGCAGCTTTTGAGAAAATTTGTTTTTTGATGATTGTCAAAGATTTCTCCAGCATCTTTGTACTTGTTGAATGGAGTCTTAAAAAGACTGTTGAGCTTAATTAAATTTCTTCCATCATATCTTGGGCCAAAAGGACAATTTTGTAATAAGTTCCAATGTCTCGGATAGACATGCTAGCCATAACCATCTTGTAAAATATCTGTTTTGAAATTTTGACTTTCGATTAGCACATAAAGGTTGTGGATTTTAAAAATTGAGGGGTGGAATATAAATCTATTATTAAATAAAATATTTATCATAGGTATCTAATACCTTTTTTTAGAAGTATATGTCTTTCTTCTAGGCTAATTATAAAATGTTTTAAAATTATTTGTACTTGATTGCTTTTTTGTAAGATGACTAGGATTTTAATCATCATCAATATGTTGAAAAAAATTTCTTATGTCCATAATTATTATTTGACTGATAGATAAATATTACGCCATTAGAAATTTGAAAACAATAAATATTATGCCATGGAAAACTTATGATAAAATACTCAGTAAATGAATGTGATTAATTAAATATATATAAGTAAAGAGATAAATAGTTACATTTCTTTTTAAAAATATTTGCATTCGTTTTTGGGTGCCCAAGTAGCAGCCCAGTGCATAAATATTCGGTGGTACCCAAACAGACTTCTTTTCTATTTAGTTGGTGGCTGGATAACCTATTCTAGTTAAGCCAATATGCTAGACCCCCCCCCCCCCCAGTTCAGGTTTCTAACCTTTTGAGTAACGACTGCAATTCATAAAACTAGAATTTTTGTGTATAATAACATAATAATTCATGTGAAAATAGATGCTCTTTGAACTTAGATTTGACTAAACATTATTTGACAAAATAGAGCAGCTATTATTTAGCGTTTTTTAAATTGAAAAATCTTTAGTGGGGATACATTTCCACATGTGAGGAATAATCACTTTATATAAATATTAGACAATTGCCATGAACATTTGAACTATATATATTTTATAAAAATTGTCTGAAATCACAGGGTAGATAGTCTACACAATTTTTAACTTTTAAAACTGGGTAATAGTAGAAATTATACCCAAAGAATTATTCGTTATTTGATTTTATTTGATTCGTATTTTAAGAATAACAAAATTATTAGGAATAAATATTATTCATCAAATAATTTTTTTTATCCATTATTCGAAATTATTAAATTCCTTACGGAAAATTTAAATTTTTACTTTATTTCTACATCTATTAATCACTAGATTTATAAATCCCTTTTAAATTTTAATAATCTAATTTTTCCAGAGTTTGAAAAAAAATCCTTAAAGAAGAAAAATTTTTTATCAAATTTTATCTAAAATTCTAAATATGTTTAGTAGAAAATCCTTGAAGATAAAATCATAATTTTTTTAAAAAAAATATTCAAAAATCTATTCCGAAAAATTTATACTCTGATATTTTCATTTTTACAAATATTTCTAAAGAATTTAATTTTCGAATCGACGAATCAAATCGAATAATGCTGTTATTATTCGTACGAATACAAATTAAGAATTATTCAATTCGAAATCGTAAATGCAAATATTCAATTCATAATTTGTATGTTAGGAATAGCAGAAATACATTATGGTTTAAAATTTAAAAAAAAGCACTCAATGAATGAAAATTTTAAAAAATATATAAGATAATGATGGAGAAAAAACATTGATACTTAAAAAAAATTAAATTCTCAAAGATGCTCAAGAATATTAAAATAAATTATTCTTTTAATAATTATTATATTCTAGAATTCAAATTAGCCATAGAGTAAAATACTACCAAGAATAGTGGGACCACTAGCTAGTGCGCTAAAAATTCAGTTATTAGGCGCGCTCAAATTTAATATATTCGGAATATTTGAATTGAATTTAGGCATGTTAATTACGCCCTTTCCCAATTATAATACCTGGATCGATTTTGCCATATTATATCTGACGATAGCAGACTATTTAAAAAAAATGTTAAGTTATAAGAGTCCTGCCAATTATATTGATTATTAAAGCCACTATTTTTAAAAAAATGTTATAAACGAAAGATGCAGTCTACTTCATATAATATTTATTATAAAAAGTCCATATGTAAAATTATGCAAATTTTTGATTGTCGATTTGAGATGCTAATATGTACCTTAATTATAAATGATTTATTTTTTAATTGTGAATTAAGGTAATATATTAACATTATGTTATAAAAATTAAAATAATTTAATAAAAATATAATTTATCTTTGGTTATCTGATAAAAATTATATCCTTGCAGAAATTTACCACTCTGTTTTTTGTCATCCCGTTTTATTCTTACGTATCTCGACATCTAGTTATAATATAAAAATGATTTGATGCCTAAAATATTTTCTATATTTTTTTGAAAAAATTGAGATTTCTATTTTACACCTTATAGTTTATATTTAAGCCTATAATTTATATAGATGAAAATAGAATAATAATCAAAATATGATTAATAATGCAATAAACTGAAAATTTGAGGTATAAGCATATACTGTCTAAATAATAATTAAATATATATAAAATAATATTAAAAACATGGTATAATATTATAATTTATGGCTTAGAAATTATATGCCAAAAATTATTAACATTTATTTACTATATTATAATCAAAATGGTTGAAATGAAATATAAAAATTATTTTTTGATAACCGTTTATAACTGTATCTTAGAAATATTTATTGTAGAACAAGGCGTATTAAGGAAACCATTTTAGAATCAAAAACTCGTTCAATTCCCATTGCAAAAAATATTTCGAATAAGATTTCACAGATGTTATAAATTTTGTTTATATATCTTCATTACCATCAACATTAACACTATAACTGTATATTGTAAAGTAAGTATTTTCATAACGGCCTGCTCATTCGTTTAAGTTAAACTTACCCGGTTAGCTAATTTGTATAGGGCTTTTTTAATCCTATTTTACTCAATGAAAATCTGGCATTAAAGGAAAAGTTTTATAAAAAAGCACGTGAAATATAATAATTCGTTTAATTAAATAAACTGATTTTTTTAACAGGTTATTTAACCAATCCAAGTAAAAATAAACTTTTATACTTTGCTAATTTCATTTCTGAAAAAGAGGGGAAGTAGGGTTATAAATGATTATATGCCCCCTAGCTTAGATGGCTGCTCGATTGTCGACAGGGACAGAGAATGACCGGCTTCAACAGTGAAGTTTCTAGGACAGAAAATAATTTTGGTTGATTGTTTTAATGAAGTAATATACTTGAGGAATTTAGAATTATAACAATATTTCTTATATATTATTCGAATAATTCTGCTAAATTTTCGAATTAGTTTCAGTCATTTTAAAGGTAGCAAAAGACATATTGTGTCGTTTGTTTCATTGGATAATATATTAATAACTCAAACCTATGATTGCTCAACTTAATTTTTCCTTGTAAAAAATATTGAGAAAAAAATATTATTCTAGTGATTCGGTTTTCAAATTCCAAATTTTATCCTTAATTTTTGTTGATATATTTATCTTATATATCATTTTTAAAAGTTATATACTACTTGTTGAATATATGAAATAAATATTTTAGCTTAATTATACTTCCAGAGATATTTGCAATTAAAAATTAAAGATCTACTACATACCCTTCTCATAGGGTGTTATGTCGTGACTATACCTAAAAAGAATTATTCGTTATTCGATTCGTATTGTACAAATATGAATAATAAATTATTTGATTCAAAAATTCTAACCAATACGAATAAGAAAAATATATTATTCGTAAATAATTTATTTATTTATCATTCGATAGAATTTAATTTGAATTTTTGTTATTATTCTAAATATATCGTATATATTCGACATTGTTCGCAAATATTAAAATTTATTCATAAATATTTAAAATTATTTGTAAGTATTTAACATTGAATATTTTATTTTTTAACTTTATTTCTACATCATAAATCCCTTTTAAATTTAATAATCTAATTTATCTAGGGTTTGAAAAAAATATCTTTTGAGCAAAATTTTTTTGAGATTTATTTAAAGAAGAAAGATTTTTGATCAAAACCTAAAATTCCAAAGTAAAAAGTCATAAGTTTTAAATTCTCATGAGCAAGAAATCTTTTTTTAAGATGAAATTCCAAATGTTTTAAAAAAAAATTTAAGATTCTATTATTGCTTTGATTTTTTTAATTTTTGAAATAATTTTTAGAATTTAATTTTCGAATCCAATCCAATATTCGACGAATCAAATTGTATAATGTTTTTATTATTCGCACGAATATAAATAAGGGATTTATCGATTCGTACGAATACGAATAATGCAAATGTTCGATTCGATTCGTATTTTTGTATATATTGGCGTGACCTAAAATTGAAAATTTTCTTAGTATAGTAATATGATAATTTTTTTAAAAATACCAGATTTTGCTATTTATTTTTTCAAATATTATATATAAAAGGCTATAAAATTACAATATTATGATTGGAAAGTATTTATCAGGAGTTAAAATGATCGAAAGTAAAGAAGATTAAGGAAGCAAAAATTCAAAGAGGAGAAATACAAGCTGAAAGAAGCTAGAATGAAAGGAGAATAAGAGAGAACATGGATCAACGAGATAAAGAACCGCGACGAGGAAGATAGAAGAAAGAGAGAAGAAGGATAAAAAAGGTGGTGAGTACTTAAAAGTAATAGATATCTTGTATTGGTAATATATGAAGTAAATTCTTAGAAAAAGGTAAATCAACAATCAATCCTTCATTTAAAAAATTTTAAATACTCTATTTCCTGATTATATTTGTTGGATTTGGAATAACTATATTAATTGAATAAATAGTTTGTATATGATAAAAAAAATTTAAAATATTTTATCAATTATTGTGAAAATTTATTCTTATTATAAATTGAGCTTCCAGGGAATTTGAGAGATCCCGTCAGGGCGTTTCCCATCAGATCTGAAAATACCAGAGGGTTCGAGAATAGAAAGAATGCTCTAAGAATTATAGAATTGCAAATGTTATGTCTAACGATGCGGCCTTTACATGAACGACAATGTAGACTATGCCTTCCATTACTCAAAACAGCAAAACTGCAGCCGGCACAGATGTGGGGTTGGGTTACTAAGCAATTTAAACGGATGCCTATAGCATGAGTTAGCTCATTTGGGTCAAGTTCGCGGATGGAATGGCTTCGAGAAACTCATGTCCAGAACCATTAAGCAGAGAGGAGAATAAGGGACGGTCCAATGATTGCATACTGGAAAGGAGAGATTCGACGCAGCTTGCAATAATGAGCATATCCCAGTTCTTCTGCTTGTTCGTTTCTGGAATTGGGTGGTCGGCAATGAATCGAGATTTCCATTCAATGATGGCACTATCAAAGGAAGGGTCAGAATTTAAGGAATTAGGATTGACTAAATTTTTGGTTAAAAGACAGCTCGATATTCCCATCATTTCCACTACCTTGACTACCTTTGGGAATCGTGCTCTTTCTTTCTTCAAGGAACTTGGATCGCTAATCCGCAAACTAACAGATGAACCTCGTGAAGGCTTCTTCTTAAGACAAAGACTTGCAATAGCAATTCACAGGGCCAATTACATCAGCTTCATTGGCAGCCTCATCTCACATGATGATTAGAATATATTTTATATAATTTTAATCACGTAATGAATAATTTATTTATATAATAACTTTTCAATGTTCATTTTTATATTATTAAACATTAATATAATTTTATTAAAAAAAAAAAAGAATAATTATTAAATTCTACAATTAATTTTTTGTATTGTAATTACTAATGCATTTTCTATCTATCAGAGACCTGCAGAGATACCATTTGCACGGCCCGACCCGGTTTTAAATTTTTTAGGCCCGGCCCGGATATTTAAAAAAAAATTTTTACGGCCCGGCCCGGATATTTTTTAAAAAAAAATTTCAGGCCAGGCTCGGAATTTTTTAAAATTATATTTGACCTGGTATATACAAAAATTCACCTATGAGATATTTTACCATATTTTTCTGCGAGTATTATCGCTTATTATTTAAAAAATTCATGTAAAAAGCTAATATTTTGAGAATATTATATTGAATTTATAAAAATTATAAAACTGTTATTTATAAAAATGGATATTTTGAGCATATACTATATTTTATATTGCATTTATAAAAATAAAACTAATATTCATAAAAATGGTAATAATATTTTGAGCATATACTATATTTTATATTGCATTTAAAAAAAATAAAACTAATATTTAATTTATAAAAATGGAAAATATTTTGAGAATATAATATATTTTATTTAATTTACTATTTAATTTATAAAATAAAAATAAATCGCTATTTAAAAAAATGCATGTATAATAAATAGTATTTTGAAAATATAATCTAATTGCACAATATTAATATAATTTATTTTATAATATAAATTTTTAACAAAAGAAGATAATTGTATTATATAATATTGTAAAAAAAAATAATGAAAAATGTTGGATTAAAAACTTTCATGACTCAAGGTAAATATAATAAATGCAATAAATATTTGACAGTTTGCAAAGTAAAAAACCAGCATGATTGACGAAACCCTATACTCAAGAAAGTTAAAAATTCACAAATTATCATGAAGAAAGAGAAGCATATCTACCTTTTCAGGTTGAAGATTACTTCTTCTTTCTTCAAGAATTCTCCCATAGTGGAAAAATTCCGCTCACAGCTTGCACTTGAAGCAGGAATTGCCAATTTTGCTAAAATTGGAAATTCGCTTTGATGAGCCGCCCACCACTCTAACAAATTATCCACCTTAAATGTTTCATCTATTTTTTTATTTATGTAATTATAATATTCATCATCGGGTATTGACATATTACCAGAATTACCATCGCTCCATTTGTCATAAAACGATTCAGTTTGTTTAACAACAGTCGTAATTTGACTGGTCGATGGTATTTCATTTACTTCCTGAGCCTATTGTAATTTAATATAATCTTTTATATAGTTTTCCGCCATCTTGCGATCTGTCCCTGACTACATACGTAATTGCTTGAATTTGGGACAGAGAAAAAGAGAAATAAAATGATACTTGTGTAAAACAAATTTTTCAATTAAAAAATGCTTTATATTAAGTAAAATCAATTTTATTTCTCCTTTTTCGCTTTGAAAGGTATTACAAACTTCAAGAAGTGATATTCCTTTATTTGATTGTTTTGGTAAAATATATTCTAAAAATTTAGATATGAATTATAAAAAAATATATTAATAATACTTGAATATGGGGGCTTATTTAAGATATTCCTTTATTTGATTGTTTTGGTAAAATATGTTGCAAAAATTTAGATATGAATTATAAAAAAATATATTAATACTTTGAATAAATTTGCAGGAAATTAATAATTAGATCGATCTGTGGGTGATAGGTAGTGTTAACCATCACCCAATATTATTTTAATCATAACTGTAATATAATATAATCTTATAACCATTAACTCAAAATGTAAAAATTTTTATAAAAAATATTAAGGCCCGGCCCGGCCGGGTTTAACAATCTTAGGCCCGGCCCGGATATATTTAAAAAAAAAATTTTTTAGGCCCGGCCCGGGTATATTTAAAAAATTTAAAATACGGCCCGGCCCGGTCCGGGTTTAGGGTCGGGCCTGCAGGTCTCTGCTATCTATAATGTATTTAAATTAATTGAGCTTTATTAATATTTTATAAAAATTTCAAATAAATTAATTTTTCCTCTAATTATATACGTATGTCATGCTCTTCACAAATAAATTATATAAAATATTATTTTACTAAACTATTCTCATTAAATAGAATATAATCTTATAATAACAGTATCTGGTATTTAAGATAGGGGAGACCGGGGATAGGTAGAGGCTTGGCAGACCATATAATCTAATTTTAAAATTAAATAGACTAGAAGGTTTAAATTTTATCATAATATAGCTTTTATTAGTATGATCTATAGGCAAAAATCTTTTGAAATAATTAATTATCAAAAATTTTATTTAAGAAATAAAATTTTCAAATTCAAAAGTTTACAATGACAGAATTTTAGTTTTTATTAAGTTATATAAATATAATCATATAAATTAAATTTTAGAGCAAAGTTTTAACCCTCTTTTTTTTATGAGTATTTATTTTGTCTTGATATTATTTCAATCATGATTAGTTAATTTAGAGCTAGTGGTGCTTGCTAAACCATACACGTCTATTATTGCATTTAATATGGGAAAAAATATTTCAAAATCTTGGAAAGAAAGCTTCATGGTTGTATATGATTGGTATTTAAGTTTATGCTAAGAAATTGTAATCTCTCCTTTTTTATATGTACAAAATGTTTATTAAATTAACCAAAATTAAGTTTCAGTTTTAATCTATAATTAGTTTCAATTTAAAAGTATTATGATATTTTGAACAATAAAATTATTTTATAGGTATCATTATTAATAAATAATATATAATTCCAATTCGTTATAGCCTAAAAAAAACTAATGGCTTAGGAAGCCTCTTGCAGTGATTTGCCTAAACTCGTTGTTGGACTTGATGGGAAAAATTTCAACTTTTACAAAAAATAAAATTCCAAAAATATGATCATATACTTAAAAATATTTATAAAGCACCTTTATATAGGTATCGATTCATATATTGTTCTTTAATATCTAAAAACACAGAAGATATAGTCGATTCTGCAAAAATCGGTTCGACTAGCCCCAGTCTCCCCTACTCTCATTTAGAAAAAGGTGCAAGTATCTGATATTTTTATTGGTATTTTAAATATATCTGTATCTAAGATCCTTTTTGTTTACAAAGAGTTTATTTCTGTATCTAGTTTTTTTTCTGGACTGCTCAACTCTGAAAAAGAGCGAGGCTTTTGGAAACACTAATTTTGAAACTTATACAAACC